GGAGAACACAACCGCCTGTCCCTGTTGAAGGATGATCCTGCCTCTGGCACAGGGACAGTTCCATGGATGGATCTCACAGCAGCATCCATGGATTGCAAATGGTCCTACAAATCAGAGAGGCGTCCAGTGTCTTTGTGATCAGAAAGAGCAGGAGGGAGTAGTGAAGCATCTCACATTTATTAAAGGAAATGCTCTAAACCCCAGAGTTTGGGCTAGGCTTTAAAAGCCACTGTGCCAGCATGCTGTTGTAGGCAGGCCATGATGCCTTGAGTAGTTGAGATAAAGGCTTGGCCCTCTGTCATGCTGGTCTCTCTGCTGAGGTCCCTGCTCCCCTGGCTGCACAGTTGGGGTCACACATGTGGTGGTCCTGACATGAGCTGTGCCCCACAGCTAGCTCGCGCACTCTGCCTCCTGTTATCCCTCCCCTCCTGCCTGTAATCACACCCCAGCAGAGGTGAAATGTCCCTCTGTGAGGGGCTGGTGGTGTATCGTCTCAGCTGTGCTGCTGCTGCCAGCTGGCCCCGAACAGCAGAAACACTGCCCAGGAGGGACGAGTGCTGCCCAAGTGGGTTAGGAGGCAGTCTCCAAGAGGAGGACTCAGCATGGGCCTGGGGTCAAGAAAAAATCCAGTAGAAATCAATAACTGAACCCTTCATAAATAGTCCTGCAAGCTTTGGCAAATGCACATGGGCTGTTTGGCTTCAGGTTTGCTCCCAAGGTTCCTGTAAAGTCCAGAGTGGTACAATTTGTGACACAGCTACCGGCTCTTGGAGGAGATATAAGAGTCCAGCTGCAGGGTTTGCTCTGCTCTCCCCTTCTGGCGGGTATGTCTCCTCCGCTCCCACCACCCAGATCCCCAGTGCACGCAGCTGTAGGTGCAAACTATACAACTACATGGTTTGTCTTGTGCTGTGTCTGTCACCAAGCCCATCCTGTTTAGCCCATGCAACAGGAGCAAGGGAGCTCCCAGGTAGACCTGAAAAACAAATTAGCAAGACCTTCTCATTTACTGGTGATTTTAGGAGTGCATGCTCGATTTTGCCTCCTTCCTGGAGTGACTGTACTGCACTGGCAGGGGGAAAGCAGGTTCTTGGTTCTGGAGATGGCCTGGTGGGTACAATGAAGGAATGTGAGGTGGACACACATTGCACCCTGGCTTTCTACTCTGTCCCAGGTTTTAACAGTGAGCGTTCAGATGATCAAAATTCACAATTTTAACTACTTCTCATTAAAACTGTGAAATGTCCTTTGAGAAACTTGCACTGCTCCTGTGATGTCAGACCTATCAGGGAGAAGGGGTTTGATACCTACAAAACTTCTTTAATTTCATGAAGAAAGGCTGAATTCTTTTAGAAAGCCCATCCCAGCATGGTGTCCCCATGCTCTGGGCAAGAAGGGCTCTACTGGCAGCTGGGAATTCATCCCCTCATTCCCGCAGCCTGGGAGATCACCTTTTCAGCATGAGATTTTACTTTTCTGCACTTCTTCCTCCAAGGCTCAGCCTGGTTTGGAAAGACATTCAACATTTTACAAGGAGTTGATCTTAATTAGCAAGAAGGATGGCTCTGAAGTCCTCCGAATTCAGGACTGATCTCAGTTGGATTACAGCTCAACAGAGTATTTCACTCCAGGGAGATCACAAATAAACATACAGTTCACCCTGGGTTTTCTCACATCACAAGATGTGGAGATCAAAGCTTCTGACGTCTAAGTCAGAAGGAATATCTCCTTTCATGATGCATGAGGAGGAACCAAGTTCTGGATGTGTTGGACCTGTACAGGGCTCTGGAAATGCAAAAAGCCCTCAAAAGCCCCACTTTCCTTCCCTGCCAGGGAGGGCACCAAGTTAGCTGGAGCTGTTGCTGATGCTTGGAGCAGGACTGGGGGAAATTAACAGCTTTCAGCAAAGCTGGAAAATGAGCCTTTCTGGCAGTTGATAAGAGGGGAAAATTTTACTAGAGCAACAGAGTTTGTGCCTTACCTGGGAAAACAGTTTTTCTCAAACAGGGCTTTGGTTTTATTTTATTTTACCTCAATAAAGAGAAGGCTGTGCTATGGAAAGCCACATCAACCTCCTCCAGGCATAGGGATGCTCAGGGACTACAGCAGATCCCATTCCTCAGCAAAGGGCAAAGCCCTCCTCAGTCCTATGTGGGCTCATGTCACCATCTGCCACCTTGATACATGGGTGATGGGTGATGCCTGAAGCCAGAAACAAACATGACAGAGAAATCCTGCAAGTCCTGTTATGGCTTATTCTGGAGAGAGCTGCTGTGTCTGTTGGTCTTAAAAGCATTGGTGAGTGTCTCTGCCAAGAAAGTGCTGTGAACGCAGTGATTTATCTCTTTTTGTTTTTTCCCCCCCGATGCTCGTTAAAATGAGAATTTGCCAGTGCCGCTGCTGTATCCAGCTGAATGCGTGTGCTTCTTGGCTCCCAGCAAGGTCCTTGCTGCAGATACCGTGTGCTTTGGCAGCGGGGCCAGTCTGGGCTGCAGGATATTACGCCTGGCAGGGACACAAACCCCTTCCAGTTCCTGGAATTTGGATTGTCTCGTGGAGTGCTGATTAAGCAGTGCTTTCAATCTGCACCCAAGACAAAACCCTCTCCTTGTCTCCGTGCAGAGGCTTGGTGCAGCTCAGCTGCTGCGTGGCAGTGGGAGCTGTACTGGGTTTGCTCTTCCTGGGCCACAGGGAAACAAAAACTCAGAAAAAACTCTCACATGCAAAACTTTGCAGTTCACAATGCTGGACGAGCATTTGCTGCTCATGGTTCTGTCTTTTGTGAAATAATGAATCATTTAAAAAAAACCCTCCCCACAACACAGCCCCAGTGCCCTCCCTACCTTGGTGTGCACTTGGTGGCAGCTGCTCCTCCCGGTCTGCCCAGACCACGTCCCCAGTCGAGATTGCTGCTGCGTGTCCCTGTCTGCCTTTCTAATCCGCTGGGAATGAAACCACCTTTACCAGCCTTAGTAATGAGAGATTTGATAGCTTGAGTGGAGGCAGGCAGCCCTGGAGCGTGTGTCCTGGTGAGGTGTGAAGGACCCTCCTGCTGCTGGCCCCTGGAGCTGGCACTTGCCTCTACATAAGCGTGAACATAAAGCAGGAGTGTCAGTAGGACCTGGCAACCTGGGGATGGAGCTTTGACTGGCACCTGTGGAGAGGTGACTGGTGTTTTGGGATGGTCTGATGCTGAGGAGGTGAAGCTGAGCTGGTTAGACCACCTACAACAGGCAGCCTGGAAAGCTAGTGAGCTCTGGGAGTCACCCTGACACCCTGGTGTGCCCAGTGCCAGCATCCACGGCACGGCACAGCCCCCAGCTGCGTGCCCAGCTCTGCCAGTTCACAGGGTGCTGCTGGTCTCTGCACCAAGGGGTCCCCTCCTGTGGCACTGCAGCGGGGCTGGAGATGCCTCGGCAGCAGTTTCCCTGTCTCCTTGCTGGCACAATCATCGTCCCACCTGCTGGGTGGGGAATGGGTGGAAACATCCCTCTGGCACATGTCTCCAGCTGCTCCCCAGGGCCCACAGCATCTTGAGTTGCTTTATGGGAGAGCAGATGCCAGGAAAAACATATACGGCGGACTGTTTCGGCAGAGGCTCACAGCAGGGTGAGGCTGTATCGCTATAACACATCAGCTCAGCACCTGGGTGTTATTCCCACTCCACGCTCGGGTCTGCTCCTCCCCAAGCTCCTGGTCGGCTCCTGTTGCACGGCAGGTCTCTGGGTGACTGGGCACAGCTAGTTGGGCTCTGGGATGTGCCGTCAGTCCCAGCATGGGGCAGGAGCTGTGTGTCTGGGATCCTCAACTCTCATGCCAGTCAAACCAGTGGGGATGAGAAGCAGCGACAGGCTGCTGCTATGGGTCTGCCTTCCCATCCCTGCAGATCCCAGCAGGCTTCTTGTCTCCCCACCTGAGCACCAGCTTTTCTCCAGGCATACTCTGGTTTCAGCTCTGTGCCTCCATCTCCATGTCTCTCACCAGCTCGGGAGAGGGAATTTGGCCTTGGTACTCCCCTTCATGCAACCAGAGAGTCAAATCCTGGCTCCAAACCTGCCTGTTCCCTGGAGAACCCAGTCCTGGTGAGGCACAGGGTGAGCACCTTTCTTGCCTGGGGCACCGTGGCATGGGGGAATGACAGCAGCGAGCCCCACACATGGCCATGGGAGGAAGAGATGTGCCGGGCATTGCAAACAGCCCCTCCAGCCTGCCAGCCCCGCATTTTTGTGACCTGCAATCATTCAGCTGGCCCCAGGCATCGTGACTGCTTGGGATGTTGTAGGGAAATACACTTGATGCTGCAGGATTGTCTACAGCTTTCAGACTTCTGCAGCCATTTTCCCTCCCTGGGGACAGACACCCGGACACCAGTTGGGCTCCCCAGGGGACACAGCCTGCAGAGAAAGGGCTGTTTTCCCCTGAGATGCCCCTGGCTGGGCATCTCCAGCCCAGGCCAGTAGTGGGGACGCAGGCAGAGCCCCCACAAGCTGCAGCAAGTCCTAGTCCTTGGGGGACCCATGGGCGGCAGCGCCCAGCCTGGCAAGTGGCTTCATTTGTAACAGGGAGAACCGCTGGCCCAGGGATATGCATGGTCACCAGGTCCCCTCCCACCC